TGCTGAGACAAGTGATCAAGACGATCAAAACTATGCCTAATTTCAGGTGTCTCCATTTAGACAGGGTTTTGAAGCAGATTGGTTGACGTTTACTGGGTGTCTGAGGTTGAAGGTTGGCACTTTGATCTGAAGCTGGAAGTGCATAATGTTTTGGTCTATGTGGCTTCTGTCTATTTGGACAGGCCAAGAGCTGAAGACTTTCTAGCCAGATCAGTTCTGTTATCTGTGTGGCAAGGTTGGGCCACTTCACTTGGTTAATAAAGTTCTTATTTGTTGGCACATGATGCCATTGTTCGGGGCTTAAGGATGTTTCAATCCTTTTCTCTCTGTTGCTTACATGGACGTAGAAGTGTCTGCTTTGTTTGCAGATGTAGCTTGACATCACTTTGCTGTCTGCGTAGAAGGTGGTGGACTGTAATTCAAGGCACAACGTCTTTGCCGTCAAGTTGGTCAGCTTTACAGCCAAAGTGGTGCCACATAGCTGTAACCTTGGTACGGTGTGGCCTTCTTGTATTGCAAGTCTCGCTTTCCCTAAGAAGACACTGAGACTGCAGCACTCCCCGCTGTAGACTGTGATGCATCTTATGGTTGCAAACAAGATAACGTAAGTGTGGCTCTCCCCGCTGTAGAGTGAGACGTATCAGAAGGCTGCAGTCGCCTTCGTAGACACATCTAAGGAAGCATACAATTCTTTCTTCTGCACTGTAGCGGGTGAGCTGGAGACGTACGTGCGCTGCACTTGCATGCTTTGGAGACATTTTGGGAGTACGCTCCATGACTCCCAGTCTTGGGGGCATTGTTTGTCTTGTTTGTCCTTTATGGACAAAGCTAAGTTGTTGTAATTGTTGCTTGTCTGGAACACGGTTGCTTCCAAAACAGTTTTGGTTGTTACAAGCGCGCGGTGTTCTAGGTGCGGTTGGAACACTGTTGCTACCAAAACAGGTTTGGTTGTCACAAGCGTGCAGTGTTGTTCTAAGTGCGGTTGGAACACTGTTGCTACCAAAACAGGTTTGGTTGTCACAAGCGTGCAGTGTTGTAGGGGTGGTTTTAGGTGAGGTGCTGTTCCATTACTGGGAATGGAGATTTTTGGGATGTTCACCTGGGTTGGGATTTGCGATTGGTCGACACAAACCGTACCTCCTATGGCCCATCCGAATTCCGTTTTAATAGCTACTGGAGATCCTGGTGGACCTTTGATTCTTTCGTCGGAGCCAATGGACTCTGGGGCATCTCTTCCTACCATGAGTAGGATTTCAGCCTCAGGATCTAGAGGAGGGATTAAATCGGCTATGTGTGCTAAGTGAGGTATTTTTCTTGCTGCCTCTGGTGTTGAGATTTCGCTGCGAACATCTGGTAAGGTCTCCCATTCTAACACTGATGGTATCCGGAAATGTGAACTTCCATCTATCGCTTTTATGCGTAGACCAGTGATTTTCCTCCCCGCTGTGCGCATTGGTACTGTGCATGTATTTATTGCAAAATGCTTCAGTTCACCCGGGAGGTCAAAGAGGTCAAAAAAGGCGGGCTTAGCTATAGTAACTTTGCTGTGTGGCGTACATCTTTACGGCCCTTTCAGGTTTCCCGTTGGGGTAGACTTTTGCAAGAGAGACAGGTGAGCATGAAGGAGGGCATGAATCTAAAATGCTTTCTTTTAAATCCAGTCAGATAGTTAACTCAAAAGAAACGATCATATAATAAACAAAATATATTTTAATGAGAAAGATTACTTGCATTCACACTGTGGTTGATGCTCCTGTAAATACATCTTTGTCCATCTTTTAGATCATCCCTTTAGGTAAGAAGATATTGCTCTTCATACCATCTTTATAACGACTCAGGCTCATTGTATGACCTTCCATGGCCCATGCTTCTTACAGACAAAGAGATTCCCATGTGGCTTGTGTCCAGGAAGTCTCCCGATGACCTTTGGAACTCCTCCCACTGACCCATCCATATACCTAGCATTTAACCCAATAACTGCCAGACACTCTGACACACTGATACCTGCTCTCTAGTTAGGAATACATAGATCTATACGTTCCATGGAGCTATACGTTCCAGAATAGTGATGCTGGGTGAAGAGAGTTCAATAACAAGGGGATTGACTTCTTCTGTCCTTCAACATGGCCTCTGGTCTCAAGAGGCTGCTGTGTAAGGTCTCCCAGACCTATGAGGTTTGGTGCCACTCTAGGTTGATCACATATCAGTGGTGCTCCATGTCTTCTGACACCAAGGAAGCAATCAGCACCCTTGAATCCTGCCAATGTTAAGAGTAGGCCTCTTTTATATCAGAGCTGCATCTATTAAACCTGAACTGGAGCTAATTTTAAAATTCCTTGTGCCTGGAGTGAAATTTTATTTCCCATTTTTTTCTAAAAATATAAAATTTGGGATGAGACTTGCCTAAAAGTATTAGTACTGCTTTATAAAACCTTAGTAAGACCACACCTGGAACACTGCAACCAATTTTTGTCACCGTATCACAAAAAAGATGTTGAGAGCTTGGAAACCAATTAGAGAAGAGCAACTAAGATGATCAAAGGACCGGAGACTAAAACATACGAAAAACAGCTGCAGGACTTGGGTTTGGCTAGTCTAAAGAAAAGAAGAAACAGGGGAGACATGATTGCAGTATTCCAATATTTGAGGGACTGCCACAAGGAAGAAGGCATCAAACTATTCTCCAAAGCACCAGAGGGCAGGACGAGAAACAATGGTTGGAAACTGACCAAAGAGAGAAGCAACCTGGAATTAAGGAGAAACTTCTAACAGTGAAGACAATCAACCAGTGGAACAGCTGGCCTCCAGAAATCATGGGCACTCCATTACTGGAGATTTTTAAGAAGAGGCTAGACGGTCACTTGTCGGAGATGGTATACCGTTTCAGACAGATGGCTGCCCAGTCTTTCCTTAAAAACTCTAGTAATGAAGCACCTAAAACTTCTGAAGGCAGCTGTTCCACTGGTTAATTATCCTCACTGTTAGGAAGTTTCGCCTTAATTCCAAGTTGCTTCATTAGTTTCCAACTGCTGTCTTGCCTTCTGGTGCTTTGGAGAATAATTTGACCCCCTCTTGTTTGTGGTAGTCCCTCAAATACCAGAATGCTGCTATCATGCTCTTACTAAGGATTTATAAAGGGATACTAAAACTTAACGTGATTTGGATTCCATCCCTCTGTTTACACAACCAAGGGTTGCATTAGCATTGCTGGCTGCTGCCACACACGGCTGGCTGATTTGCCCCCAAGCTGCAGAATGAGAGAAGCAGCGTCTCTTTTGCTCTCCCCCTTCGTAATTGCCCTGGAGGTGCTGTGAGGTCCTTTCTTCCCCCTTTCTCTCTCTGGGGTCCCTTCCTGGGGCTCATGAGGAGCATCTGATCTTTCCTGGCCATCACTGGATCAGGTGGGAAAGAAGCCCCAAGGGAAGAAACTCCTGCCTTGGCTGTGATTGGGGCTCAGAGGGGACACAACACCCACATTTGGGGCAGGGAACATAGTTTGAGAAAGAGTGAGAGAATCCGTTGGTGCCAAAGCAGAGGCTCCTTCCCTCAACAGAGACGGAGGCCTCAGACACAACCTGTCCCCCATTTTCTGGGCTGCTCTCTCATCGGCCCCCAGGAAGAACTCATGAACCCATAATGACCCCTAAGAAGTTCAGGAGTTGGTACATTCCAACCGCTCTCTGCCTGTCCAGAATCCCTCTATCCAAATGGTTCAGACCGAAGAAACTGCTGGAGAAGCAGAAAAACCTCTCACCTAATAAAAAATAAATCCAGTTACCCCAACTCCATTTCCAGACGTCCATCGAAATTCTCCCCTTTGCTGGCAGCGAGGGAAACGTGGGGGGGGGGGATTGCAATGCCTGGGATCTGGGAAAAGAGAAAATAAGTGATCGTGCTGATGGAGCGGACTGATGCTATATTTCCCGGGTCTTAACACCTAGAAATCTGCCGAATTGAATCGCCCGGAAGAACTGTGGGATGGGGTTGCTTGGGAACACTTTAAAACACGGAAGGGTGGGAGAGGATCCCCCAGATCCTGTCTAGGATGCCTGCAATCGGTTTCTCTGAATAAAGATCCCTGTTGGAAGAGACTTTCCAGGCGTTCTGTCTTCTCAAGATGGAAAGTGAGCTGGGTCCTTACAGGCCCCTGGGGTCAGGATATCAGCTGCCCATTGTGAGGTCATCAGTAATGCTGTGATGTCACCCCTGCGGGCAGATATATAAAGGCAAGCTTGAGGACAGGAAATCTGAGGCGAGTTGAGGCGAGGCGAGGAGAGGAGGGAGTTGAGTTGTATTGTGTTCTGTTGTGTTGGAGAGGAGAGTGAAGTGGAGGAGGTGGAGAAGATCGGAGGAGAGCTAAGGAGAGGAGGGTGATATAGAGAGGACAAGATCGGAGGTGGTCAGAGTGGAGTTAAGGAGAGGAGAGGAGAGGAGTCGTACTGTGTTTAAGTCGAAGAGAGGAGAGTGAAGTGGACGAGATTGGAGAAGATCGGAGGAGAGCTAAGGAGAGGAGAGTGGTGTAGAGTGGACAAGATCGGAGGTGGTAGGAGAGGAGAGGAGAGGAGAGGAGAGGAGAGGGTGGAAATCCATCAAGTGAAGAGAATAACTTTGCAAAGTTTGGAAGATTAGAAGATCAGGTAAGACTAAACCTTGATTCTGAACATTAACTGTCCTCCTATTAAAGATAATAGGGGGTGGGGTGGGGTGGGATGGAATGGAGTGGAATGGAATGGATTGGAATAGAATAGAATTAGAGGATGGAATAGAATAGAATAGAATAGAATAGAATAGAATAGAATAGAATAGAATAGAATAGAATAGAATAGAATAGAATAGAATAGAATAGAATAGAATAATAATTCTTTATATGTCCACGTACGATTGGACACCCGAGGAGAGATGGGAGCACCAAGGACCCCTCATTTCAACCCAGAGTTACAGACCTTCTCCTTTATTGGTAGGGTCTGCTTCCAGTTCTAGCCCTCACTCTTCACGGCAGGATGAGTCGCAGGCTGACCAAGTTGCCGTTGCTAAAGAAGAAGGACAGCAAGGAGTCCAACCTTCAGGTCAATCGTGACCAGCAGCAGTGGGACCGCCAGGTAGCCCATTTCTCTGGCTCCCACCCATCCACTTCCCCAGACGCAGCCACTCGGAGAACCACGCAGCTCCTGCCTCTGCTTGTGAAGTCTTCCGCAGCTCCAATGCAGGCCAGGAAGAGGGTTCAGCTTCCAGCGCTGGTGCTCCCCGACCTGGGCCAAAGGACAACCCTGAGGACCACTCCAGGGACTGCTCAGGCGGACGACCAGCAAGGCGAGAAAGAGCCCATGGCCTTGCCAAGGGTGCCGGAGAGGGAAAGCTCTCAGAGGAGCAGCCTATCCCAGGGGAGAAGGCCTTCCAAGGCCCTCCTGCCTTTATATCCAGGTACACACAGAGCAGGGCTGGGCTATCTATGGAAGCAGCTTTGTCCTATCACATTAGCCCATCCCACTCTTTCCATCAGTCAATCAATCCATCCATCAATCAATCAATCAATCAGAATAGAGCCGGAAGGGACCATTTGGGATCCAGAACATTGATTTAATAGGTCCCAGGACTTGATCCCGCCTCAGAGCTCTTTCAGGGTGTTTACCTACCCCTTGGGTACAGTTCTTTCTCTGTTTATTACAGAACAATCGAGTTGGAAGGCACCTCAGAGGTCTTCTAGTCCAACCCCCTGCTCAGACAGGAGAGTCTATGCCATTTCAGACAGGGGGCTGTCCAGTCTCCTCTTAAAAACCTCCAGTGATGAAGGAAGTTGCTCCACTGATAGGTTGTTCTCACTGTTCGCCTTAGTCCAAGTTCGTTTCCCTCCAGGGCTTCTTCTCCTGCCCTTCGTGCTTTGGAAAATAAGGGGACCCCCTCTTCTTTCTGGCAGCCCCTCAAATACTGCATCATGTGACCCTAAGTCCTCCTTTCCTTTGGCCATACCCAGTCCTAAGAAAAGAAGGACTTGGGGTAGCACGATCCACGATCCAGGATCCATGCCTTATACGCATGACAACGGGCTGGGTGACTTTGGGCCAGTCAAGCCAAAGGAAGGGCCAGGGCTGAGAGGATAGCAGTGTTCCAATATTTGGGGGGATGCCACAGAGAGGAGGGGGTCAAAGCCCCCGAAGGCCAGACAAGGAACATTGGATGGAAACGGATGAAGGAGAGAGTCGGCCTAGAACTATGGAGGAATTTCCTAACAGGGAGAACAATTAATCGGGGGAACGACTTCCCTTCTGAAGCGGTGGGTGCTCCATCCCTGGAGGCTTTCAAGGAGAGACTGGACAGCCACTTGTCAGAAATGGCAGGGGGTCTCCTGCCTGAGCAGGGGGTTGGACTAGATGACCTACAAGGTCCCTTCCAACTCTCTTATGCTGTAAAGGTTCAGTCACTTCAAAATGAGCATGAAGATTTATGGCAAGCTGAAGCTCCCTACAAGAACCTGACCAGCTGGCCATTAAGGGGAAGGGTCCCTGTGACAACTCGCCACGGCCATCTTGGGTGGCCAACTAGCTGAGGGACAACTCGCTGCGGGTTACATTAATATCACAGAAATGGTGGAAGAGAATCGTGAAAGAAAGGATGGCAAAGGAATGAAATGTGGAGGATAAAAATTAAAATGATTTTTTATTTATTTTAAATAATGAAATTGAATTGTTACATTTTCCTGTGGCGAGTTGTCCCATTCCACAAAGGTCAGAAAGACACACATTCAAGTTGGGCTGGATTTAGATCTCCTGCGGACGCGAAGGGATTTGTGACTAATGACGCCTTGGACCCCTCCCTCCCTCCCTCCCTCCCTCCCTCCCTCGGGCTCAGCCTGGTCTTCCCCTACGCACCCTTTTTTCTCCTCCTTTTGGGAAGGTTTGTCCCGTGGAATTGCCCATCGTCAATCCCAGTCTCTCTCTCCTTCTCAGAACTCTCCGACCAATGTTTCCAAACCTTCTGGGAGAGCAAGGAGCCACTGAATGGCAGATCTGTGACAGAGATGTTGGAGCAGATGGATGAAAAGGAAATACTAGATACCATCCTGGAGCATCTTCGTCCCTCCCTGCATGTAAGCAGATTGGTTTGTGTCAGGGGGATTCCAGGGGTCCATCCCGGAGAGGGTGCAGAAGCAAGGGCTGTCTCCGTGGAGATAATGTATCCCAAAGTGGACAAATGGGGTTGTGGAGAATGTGCTGAACTATGGGGCCTTTGGTGCTCTCTGAGCTGGGCTGTTTTCTTGCAGACGTTTCGCGACCCAACCGGGTAACCTTATCAGTGCTAGTGGGTGTGAGGCTCGCTCCCTGCTTATTCAGGGCAGGCTACTGGGTATAAACAGACAGCAAATGCCACTCCCTTCTACTACTGAAGATGTTGCCTAGTTGGGTCATGAAACGTCTCCAAGAAAACAACCAAGAGAGCACCAAGGACCCCATAGTCCTCCTCGTTCTCCACCATCTTCCTCCCACCTCTTTTCTCTCTCCTCCCTCCTTCTTCCTCCCCTTCTTCTCCTCCACTCTCTAAACCCTCTCCCTTGGAGCCCTGATGGTGTTCCTAGTTGGATCGTGAAAACTCTGCAAGAAAAAAGCCCATAGTTCTCATTGTCCACCATCTTCTTCCTCCTCCTCCTCCTCCTCCTCCTCCTCCTCCCCATAACCCCTCCCCACCCTTCTAGCACCGATGATGTTACCTTGCTTGGCCCTGAAACATGTGCAAAGCTCAGAGAGCAGCAAGAGCTCCCCAGTTCACAACCCTGAGCTGCAAATAGTCTTTTCCGTCTGCTGAACTAACCTCAGTTCCTGCCTGCGCAGCCAGCCAGCCAGCCAGGGGGAGGGAGACTGGAGTTGTACAGGGGGTCCTTAACCTACAACCTCAACTCCGCCCAGGTTTTAGGGGGCTGAGCAAGACATTTTGTAAGTGGGCTTTGTTCCCATTTGACGACCTTTGAACCCCTGCCAATGTTCAGTTAGTCACAGGGTTGTTAAGGGAATCGGGCTCCTCCCTTGACTTTGCTGGTCAGGAAGTCGCAAAAGGGGATCACGTGACCCGGGACGTTGCAACCGTCACAAGTACATGCCAGTTGCCCAGCATCCGAATGTTGATGGCATGACCACACAATGGTCATAAGTGCGAAAAACGGTCAGAAGTCATTTCTTTCGGTTGTACATTATTCCTTATAAATAAATGGCTGTAAATCAAGGGCCAGCAACCTCTGGAGACGGGTTGTTTGCCTGTCCTTCCAGTCAGAGGAAGCAAATCTAGGGTCTTCATCCAGACAAGCGTTCTCACAATTTGTGGCAGAGATTTTCCAACAGCTCCTCTCCAAAGCTGCCTCAGCTTCAGCTGACACAACGCGGGAGGGTCCTTCTTACGTGCCTTGGCTAGAAAAGTCAAGTAAACTGAGGCAGAAGGGAAAGGGATGCTTTCCTTGGAAACACACAAGAGAGCCCGTTCCTCCCTCTGCTCCTTCGCTTTGCCTCCATGCCTTCCTTCTTGCTGCCTCAACAGATCTCTGCAGGCCCCCAACTGCCCAGGAGGAAAACGGATGGACTTCCCTCCCTCCACCAGAAGTCTGCGCTCCGAGAAAGTCCTTCCCATCTCTTGCCTCAAGAGAAGGTAAATATGCTGAGCTTTTCCCCTTGGGGGGGGGCACAATTGTCCTAGACACAACGCCAACACAATGCCAACTCATTTCCTTCCAATGATTTAAAGAATTATTTTCATTTTTGTCGTTCACGTTTCATTTTGTCCCTCCTTTGGCATCGTTCCTTTAATGATTCCGTTCCACCATTTCTTCGAGATTAGACAGACAAATGAATAGTAGCATAACAGAATTGGAAGGGACCTTGGAGGTCATCTATCCCACCCCCTGCTCAGGCAGGAAGCCCCATACCATCCTGGACCCATGGCTGCCCAGTCTCCCCTTAAAAACCTCCAGTGATGGAGCACCTGCAACTTCTGGAGGCCAGATTGATTGTTCTCACTGTCAGGAAAATTCTCCTTCGCTCTAGGTTGCTTCTCTCCTTCATTAGTAGCTGACCACACGGTGCCCATTTCTGAGCGTAGTTTGTCCCCCTTTTCCTTTTCCTGACCCATTGGTGGACCTCCCTACGATTCCCTGACTCTTTTCCCAACCTTCAGATTTCGCTTTACAAATACTACGGGGTGAAACTACGCAACTCGAGACAGAAAGACCTGGTCAAGGAACAACTGAAAAGTCTTCTGGGTTTTTCATTTCAAGAAGAAACAGACAGAGAAGTGAGTGGAAGTGGGGTTTCTGCAGGGGCTGAGCCCTCCAACTGTGTGGGGCCCTTGGTGCTCTCCGAGCCGGGTGGCTTTCTTGCAGACCTTTTGTTACCCAACTAGGTCACATCATCCGTGCTAGAAGGGAGTGGGGTTTGTGGAGGAGGAGGAGGAGGAGGAGGAGGAGGAGGAGGAGGAGGAGGAGGAGAACTGTCTTTGGTGCTCTCTGAATTTCATTTTTTTAAAAGACATTTCATTACCCAGCTAGGTAACATCATCCGTGCTAGAAGGGAGAGGGGATTGCTCTCCTTTTGCAGGTGGTTCTCAACTTACGGCCACAAGTGGGATTGGTATTTCCATTGCTAAACAAGGCAGTTGTTAAATGAATTGTGCTGGATTTTGTGACCTTTGGGGCTATGTTGTTTAAGTGAATCACCGCAATTGTTAAGGGAATCCTGCAATGCCTTTTTTAAATTTGCTTTCTTCAAGGATGCTCTAACTTGGAAAAGTCACAGAACAAATGGTTGTAAGTCGAGGACTGCCTGTATTTAATTCCTGTCCACCCTCCCAAAGCTTGGAAGGAATAAAAAGAAGGGTGCAGTTAGTAGGGCAGTTCGTTTAGTGACCATTGAAAGTTAGGACGGCACTGAAAATGTGACTTATGACCGTTTCTCCAACTTACGGCCGTCGGAGCATCCTTAGAGTCACCTGACCAAAATTTGGGTGTTTGGTTCCTATTTGTGACGGTCGCAGTCTCCCAGGGTCACCTGATCCTCCTTTTGCGACCTTCTGGAGAGCGAAGCCAGTGGAGAAGTCAGAGGCACTTAAGAATTGTGTTACTAACTGAACAACTCCAGTGACTCACTTAACAACTTGGCAAGAAAAGTCGTAAAATGGGGCAGAACTCCCCTAACAAATGTCTTGCTTAGCAACAGAAATGTTGGGCTCACTGGTGGTTGTAAGTTGAGGACTACCCGTATATTAACAATAATAAGACGATAACATCAGTGACTCTTCTTGACCGAAAGAGGTTGATCCTTTTTCCACTGGCTCATAAATTTATTCCTAGAGAGGCAGGAAGAACAAGGTAGGCAGAGGGTGAAGGACTGGAGCTGGGTCTCCACAGGGAGGCTCCAAGCGTCAAGATGGTGGCCACAATGCGGCAATTGTTCCATCCTGGGACTTCAAACTTGGCGACTTTCAGATTTGTGGACTTCAACTCCCAGAATTCCTCAGCCAGCACTCTGGGAGTTATAGTAATAATAATACTAATAAAGTTGGAAGGGACCTTGGAGGTCATCGAGTCCAACCCCCTGCTCAGGCAGGAAACCATTTCGGACAAATGGCTGTCCAGTTGAAGTCCCCAAGTCTTAAAAGTTGCAGGCTGGGGGATTCTGGGAGTTGAAGTCCCCGAGTCTTAAAGTTTGGAGACCTCTATTTTTGACCCATGGACCACTCTTGTTTGGAGCAAACGACTCCAGAATGTGGCTCACCTCGAGAGCAAAGAAGAGGTGGCTCTTGCTTAGCCTTCGTCACAGAAGCAGCCTGCAATAAAGACACACGATGACGGGTCAAATGTTGAAATGTCCTAATTCGCAAGCATCGCTTTGCTTAGGGAATCTCTGAAGCCATCGGAGTGGTTGCCTTTTGCCATCTTCCTGAGATCCTGGTGGCCCTGAGGCAGGTTGGCCACTTTGTGCGTGCAAAGAAACCTGCTCTGCAAGAAGCCCCCTTTCAGGTAAGGCCAGAGATGGGCTTGCAAGGTCTGAGACTCAGGACAGAAGAACGCTGGGGGATTCTGGGAAGGAAAGTCCAACGTGTTACCAGCGCTGGGAGGTGGAAATTCTCCATCTCCACCTCCCGGAGGGCTGTTTTATAACGCTAGAGGAGGTTATGAGTTGCCCCAACAAACATCTCCAGTAGACCCAGAGATGCTTTTTCAGAAGGCAACTGGACTTTGTTTTTCCTTCCTTTCACTTCTCATCCAAGAAGCTTCTTCTGTTCTGACTGAGAAGGGGATTGGACCGAGGGATGATGGGGAATAGTTCTTATCGCCTCATCCCTTCCGGTGGTTGATGACCACTTCCTGGACCTCAGTGTGGAGGTGGGAAAGGGGCCCCAATTGGAGGCCAGACATGTGGACTTCCCAAAGACATCCAGTGGGCCATTTGGGATCCAGAACGGTGATCTAATAGGTCTCAGGACTTGATCCAGCCTCAGAGCTCTTTCAGGGACAAATGGCTGTCCAGTCTCTGTTTGAAAGCCTCCAGTGATGGAGCACCCACAACTTCTGGAGGCAAGCTGTTCCACTGGTTAATTGTCCTCACTGTTGGGAAGTTTCTCCTTAATTCCAAGTTGCTTCTCTCCTTGGCTAGTTTCCATCCATTGCTTCTTCTCCTGGTGCTTTGGAGAACAGGTTGACTCCCCCCCCGTCTTTGTAATCACAGGACCCACACTCTTGTTTTGAGAGACAAATTCGCACAGCCGTGATCCTGTGCTATGGCCACGCAGCCCTGGGAGCCCAGCCAGAGGACCTGATGCCTTTAGCGGAACACATTGTCTCTGAGATTCTCTTCCAGTATTGGACCAGGAACAAGGTAGGCTGGCTTCCACCCTGGGCTTCTCTTTGCCCTTTTCTCAGAAAGGGGGGAGTCATGTCACCGGTCTTCCCACTGAATTAAGATGGAAAAAGAACCCCCTGTGATTATTTTCCAGAATCGCCTCTCATTATTTCCCCTCTTTATTGCGAGAACAAGGACAATCTGGAGTCCTTAGCTGGGTTGCCTTCTTGCAGACATTTCATGACCCAGCTGAGTAATGTTATCAGTGCATTGTGGGAAAAGAGGAGGAGGAGGAGAAGGAGGAGAAGGAGAAGGAGGACAGTAGAGTCCTTGGTGTTCTCTGCTTAGTTGTTTTCTTGCAGATATTTCCCTACCCAACTAGGTAACGTTATCAGTGCTAGAAGGGAGTGGGGTTTGCTCTCCTTCTACATACGAGTGGCTTGCCCTGTCAATGCCGGCAGGACTGTTGTTTTTCTTCTTGATATTTCCTTCATCTATTGTTTACCACTGAATAGTTTCTCTGGTGTTAATCACCGCTTATCTGGGTTTGCATTGCTAGTGAGGAAATACAAGGAATGTCTGAGAAAATCCAGCTGGCTCGCAGAGCACCACCCCTGAGCGACAAAGACCCCCCTCTATTGAATTCTCTGACTGCCCATCTTAGAGGCAGAAGAGAGTAGAACGACAGAGTTGCTTGGAAGAATCCTGATCTCTGGATCAGCAGGAACCCTCCAGCCCCCAGTTAGGCCTCTAATTCAGATTCGCCCCCTATTCCGACTGCAGAGTAGATGTTTAAATGCTAGTTGTTCATTTATCTATTGGAGGGTCAAGCCGCCTTTATTACACTCAAGGCAGCGGACAAGCATAATAGTCTTCCCTCCTTCCCCCAACAACCTTGTGAGATAGATGGACTGGCCCAAAGTCTCTCAGCTGGCTTTCATCCTAAGACGGGACTCGAACTCACAGTCTCCTGGTGATTGGCCCAAAGTTACCCATCCAGAACTCGCCATTTTGGGTGACGGCACAAAGTCTCTCAGCTGGCTTTCATCCTAAGATGGAAGAAAAACTCAGAGTCTCCTGGTGACTGGCCAAAATCACTCAGCCATCTTTCATGCCTAAGGCGGAACCAGAACTCAGAACGTCCAGGTGATATTTTGATTGGCAGCCGCTCAGAGTTCAACAGAAGGTGGTTGGCTGCATCGAGGTTTAAATCAATCAGTGCTTCCTTCTGGTTTCCTCTAACCCTCCGCTATCCACCCTGTGTAAGGACCTACCCGACTTTACATCTTAAGAAGACAGAACTCTTGGAATATCTCTTCCAACAGACATCTTTATTAAGAGAAGATGGTTGCAGGCGTTCTAGGCAGGATCTGAGGAGTTCTCTCCTATCCTTCAATGTTTTAAGTGTTCCCAAGTAGCCCCCACTCCACAGTTCTTCCGGGTGAAAATTCCCCCCCCCCTTTTCCCTTACTGCCGGCAAAAGGGAGACTTCAGAGAGGAGTAGATGAAAGGCGATGGCCATATTGTTATGGTCAGTCCTCTTGGTGAGAATCAACATCCAGTCCTTTTGAAGTTTAAGGAAGGAAGTGAGAGCCATCAAACCCCCCTGCTCATCCCCCTCCCCCTTCGTAGTATGGCAGAATCCAGAGAGAGCAGAAATGGGTTTTTTCCATAGTAGATCACTAGAAATGAAATATAATTGGATTCTGCCTTTTCCAGGATGAAGCCTTGACGAAAGCGTTCCTGACGTCCGTGATCAGGATCACCAAGGCTCTTGTCCAGACCAAGAGTCAGGATGTCCATTTACCCCACAAATCTGAACTGGCCCTCAATATAAATGTAAGTGGGGGGACAGGTGCTCCCGGGACAATTTATTTCGGAAAGTGAATTTGGATGGAATTCTATGGAATATAGCAGGTTCTCCTCGCCTGCCATTCAGCCCCAAATGGTTGTTGCTAAGTGGGACAATTGTTAAGTGAATTCTGCCCCATTTTACGACCTGTCTTGCCACCGTTGTTAACCGAATCACAGCTGTTAATTAGTCACATGGTCGTTAAGTGAATCTGGCTTCATCATTGACTTGGTGCAAAAAAGGGGATGACGTGACCCAGGGACACTGCGACCGTCATCCGTATGAACCAGTGGCCAGGTGACTCCATTTTGACCAGGTGACCATTAGGGAATGCTGCCGTGGTCGTAAGTGTGAAAAACCACCATCAGTCACTTTTTTCCAGTGCCGTTGTAACTTCGCATGGTCCTTAAATGGGCGGCTGTTAAGTGGAGGACGGTCGTGGTCTATTTGGCCAAGGGTGGCTAGGCACAGAGAGGTTCTCTCAAGTGGGGTGAGACACCGTGCAGACGCCCCCCAGGGCAGGAGCTCTCGGTGTGCATGCGGAAGCATAGAGGGACCCCCAGCCTCCCCGCCATAATGGCAGCAGTAAAAGAAGGGAGCAGGAAAGGGGAGGAGGATAGCGTGCAGACAGACGATGTGGGGAAAGCGAGAGAAGGCAGGACTGTAAGGACCAGGTGTTCAGCAGAGGGAGGGCACAAGGCAAAAACGCTGTGTGACTCGTTGCCCCAAAGGTGCTTTTTCAGGAGGCAACTGGATTTCCTTGTTTTTCTTTGAAGACGTTTCGCTTCCCCTCCAAGAAGCTTCTTCAGCTCTGACTGGATGGTGGGGAATGGACGGGTTTAACTGCCCTAAGTGCAGGCTGGTTGCCAGGTGACCCCTGAGGAAGACTCGTCTCTCGGAACTTCGGATCTGGGTCATAAGGAGTCCTGGAGAGATCTGTCACAACTTTAAATGGTGGCTAAGCGACCAGTTATAAGTTGAGGACTTCTTGTATCAACCAGAAAAAGCATAGGGGTGGGAATAGAGCCAGTTGCATGGTGGCCATATCTCTGGAGCTTGCTTTGATGTGTTTCCTCCTCCTCCTCCTCCTCCTCCTCCTCCTCCTCCTCCTCCTCCTCCTCTCAGGAAGTCATTGAAAATGAGCCCGTGAGTCCCTTGTCCGTCAGAATTCTTCATCAAGCAATCATCGCAATCACCTCCATGACGTACGTACCTGCACCGCCCTCACCTTATCACCAGGGTTTGTAGGAACCGGGAGTTGGACCCCGTTATGGGATTTCCATGCCAAGTCCCCAGGCTCTAGAGCATGCGTGGAATTAGAAGGTCAGTCCCAGAATTTGGAAGGGTGAACAATTTGCACGCTGGCCATCTGGACAGTTCAGATCTGGGAAACAGGTGAGCGTGCTGATTTAGATGTGAGGGGTCCTTGGTGCTAACCAAGAATAGAATAGAGATGGAAGGGACCTTGCAGGTCTTTAGTCCAGCCCCTGATCAAGCAGGAGAACCTATGCCATCTCAGACAAGTGACTGTCTAGCCTCTTTTTAAAAATCTCCAGTGACGGAGCGCCCACAATTTCTGGGGACAAGCTATTCCACTGGTTAATTATCCTCGCTGTCAGGAAGTTTCTCCTTAATTCCAGGTTGCTTCTCTCTTTGATCAGTTTCCAACCATTGTTTCTCGTCCTTCCCTCTGGTGCTTTGGTGAACGTGACCCCCTCTTCCTTGTGACAGCCCCTCAGATACTGGAATGCAACTATCCTGTCTCCCTATTTCTTCTTTTCTTTAGACTAGCCAAACACAAGTCCTGCAGCCGTTTTTCGTATGTTTTACTCTCAGGGCCTTTGATCTTCTTAATTGTTCTTATCTAATTTGCTTCCAAACTCTCAACATCTTTTTTGTGATATGGTGACCAAACGTGGCTGCAATATTGCAGGTGTGGTCTTACTAGGGTTGTATAAAGCGGTACTAATACTTCGCGTGATCTTGATTCTATGCCTCTGTTTATACCACCCAGGGTTGTATTTTTGGGCTGCTGCTGCATACTGCTGGCTCATGGTTAAGTGATCGTCCACTAGGACTCCAAGGTCCCTCTCACAGTTCCTGTTTTTAAGCCAGGTCTCGCCCAATCCGTACTTGTAGCTTTGATTTTTCCTGCCTAGATGTAAATCTCCACCCTGAAACTCATTTTATTGGATAGGGCCCATTGTTCAAGGTTGACTCAGCCTTCCATCCTTCCGATGTCGGTAAAATGAGGACCCAGATTGTTGGGGGCAATAGGCTGACTTTGTAAAACCACTTAGAGAGGGCTGTAAAGCACTGTAAAGCGGTATATAAGTCCAAGTGCTATTGCTCTGTCTAGTTTAATGAAAAAAAGGTCTGGGGGTGACACGATAGCAGTCTTCCAATATTTGAGGGGCTGTCACAGAGAGGAGGGGGTCAACTACTCTCCAAAGTACCTAAGATAAAAAAGCAATATATGGAAACCTATCAAAGAGAGATCCAGGAGAAATTTCCTGACACTGAGAACAATCAATCAGTGGAATGCTTTGCCTCCAGGAGTTGGGGGTGCTCCATCACTCCAGGTTTTCAACAAAAGACTGGACAATCATTTGACCAGGATGGTATAAGCACCATCAAAAAGCAAGGGTTGGACTAGAAGACCTCCAAGGTCCCTCCTAGCCTCATGAGTCTACGATCTTCTCACACACCCTCCTCTTTTCTTGTCTTTCATCAGTCGTTTGAAGCCTACATTGAACACTGAGGTGATGTCTAAGTTGGTGAACACAAGCATCCAGAAGGTGTTTTCCCTGCCGGCTATGACCATGACCAAAGTGAATGCAGGTAGCCCAAACCAGTCAACCTATACTCAGGTGAGCAGTCCAGATGAAGCAAAGCAATATGAGATCCATCTGGACCTTTGGTGGGAGGACGAGGTGAAACATGAATCAAGATCTCCTCAAAAGCTCTGAATCCATCCATTGAGCCAAATGGCACCTTGGCCTGTCCCTTCATCCCTGGCCTTGAAAGAAGGCTTCCATTTCTCATTCTACCTTTCTTGATAGGACTAGTATTTTTAACTTCTAAACATCTCCATGGTCTTCCTCACCAGCTTTTCCTCTCTTCCTTCACTACTACTACTACTACTACTTTCTTCTTCTTCTTCTTCTTCTTCTTCTTCTTCTTCTTCTTCTTCTTCTTCTTCTTCTTCTTCTTCTTCTTCTTCTTCTTCTTCTTCTTCTTCTTCTTCTTCTTCTTCTTCTTCTTCTTCTTCTTCTTCTTCTTCTTCTTCTTCTTCTTCTTCTTCTTCTTCTTCTTCTTCCTCTTCCTCTTCCTCTTCCTCTTCCTCTTCCTCTTCTTCTTCTTCTTTGTTCTGGTTGAAGTGTCTTCTCAGGACCAACTCCCCATGCCTTTTGTTCCCATACGAAAGAAGGGCATACGGTGGTGCAGAACAACCATGATCTGCATGCATTAGCTATCATTCCTAAGTCATCTCAAAAAACCCTCAAGAAAAGGTACAACTTCTCTGACCTGAGTTTGATTCCTGCTCACTTTGGGGACATATCCACGACAGCTTCTTGGCCACAAGATGGAAGGGCAAAATCCTACGATGCAATTCCCAAAATAGAAGCAAAGCCCAGATTGTCTATTTGTGCCTGTTGAGATCCTAAGGAAGCTGCAAGAAAAGACTACATGGACCTTGTGGGTGTCCAACCTTGGCAACTTGAAGGCCCTGGACTTCAACTCCCAGAATTCCCCAGCCAGCATGCCACAGTGGGACACCCCATTGTGGAAGAGCACAACTCCTGATATTGTTGATGCTGATAGATTTCCCTCCCAAATCAACTAGATCAACCATTTAATCAGAATTATTTCTGAGGGAAAAAGATTTACAGGAGGTCCTTGACTTACCACTGCAACCGAGTCAGAATTATGACCATAAGTCATTAGAGTCATAGGTTGAGGCACTAAGTGGCCAGACGGGATTTTTTGGCAGTTTTTGCAGTGGTCATGAAGTGAACGCGGCAGTCATTAAGCGGACGCTGCAGCTATTAAGCGAACAACATGGTCGTTAAGGGAATCCATTAGGCCCAACGGGTATTTCTTGTTGGAAGCTAGAAGCAAATGCCCAAAACCAGCAATAAAGGTCAAAAAACGTGGGACAAGGCAAACAGCTGTAAAGGCGAGCCAGCACCCAAAATGCAATCATGGAACCTTTGAACTTTAACTTTGAAATTCTTACTTTGAAATTTGGTCTTAATGAGAGGTTGTCCTAACTTTAAATGGTCACTAAGCAACTGGTCATAAGTCGAGGAGAACCCATACTACTCCCATGTAGCTTGTCGAAGCAGCCTTTGTTTTCTCCTGCTTTTTCCACCAAGGGAGAACTTTGTAACCTCCCCAAGGGGAGCTGTAGAAATTCAAAAAATCTACCCATAAGTCAGATAAAGAATTCTGTCCAGCACTATATTGGGGCTAGTCTTGATAAAGCTAAGCGAGGTCAGGCACGGTTGGGTCTTGGATGGGCAACTGCAGCTAGTCCTCAACTGACAACAGATCATGTAGTGACCGGTTGAAGTTACAACGGCATGGAAAAAATTGAGGTCGCAGCATCCCAGGGTCACCTGACCCCCTTTTGCGACCTTCCGACAAGCAACGTCAATGGGGAAGCTTGATTCATTTAATGACCGTGTGACTAACTAAACAACTGCAGTGGAAAGAAAGGTCGTAAAATGGGGCAAAGCTCACTTAACCATTGTCTCGCTTAGCAACAGAAATTTTGGACTCAGTTGTGGTCGTACGTTGAGGACTGCCTGTCTTTGAATATCCTAGAATTGCAAGGAAGACATTCCACCTCTTAGTAAACCTTTTGTGGACGACAACATTACGGAAGTCCTTCTGTTCCTCGCTCTGAGCAGAGAAAGCATTTCCTCTGGCTCTTGAAGAAAAAACGGCCCTGCAAGATTGGCCGCTTCGTTTCCTGCAGAGATGGGGAACGAGGGCCATATTTCGGACTCGTGGCCTTCAATTCCCAGAATTCCTGAGCTTAGGAAGTCCACAAGTCATAAAAGTGGCCCTCGTTCCCCACCCCTGGTTGTTCTGCCTCCTGGATGCGCTGCTCCTTCCTGTACGCCACCCCTTCCCTCTGATGTCTTCCTCCTTTTAGGACCTTTACCACCGGACGGTGACCGCCTGCAGCGCCATGCTCACCAGCTTGCTGTCGGAGGCTCCCAATTTGGATTCCCTGCAGGAGATCTTGATGGTGAGGCTTACTCTTGTTCTGGCTGGTTGCAGTGGTCGGCCAGAGGTTCAGACGGGACTTGGCAATGTGGTCCACCCGTAAGAGTCCTTCCCAAGGACCAGGGATAGGCAGACGTTGCCGTTGGTTGGCAAAGTATTGTCACAGCTGCGGAATGGAACAACTCGCCAGGGGACAACTCGACAACTCAGTTTAATTATTTAGAACAGTTAAAACGTTGTTTTAATTTTTGTCATTCGCATTTCATTTTGTCCCTCTTTTGGCATCCTTTCTTTAATGATGCTATTCCACTATTTCTCCGATATTAGCGTAATCCTTCATTTAGTGGCTGTTCGAAGATACAACGGCACTGAACGGCTGGTCAGAAGGTCGCAAAAGGGGACCGTGAGACCCCGGGACCCTGCAACCGTCATAAATATGAGTCAGTTGCCACGCATCCGAATTTCGATCCTGTGACCACGAGGATGCTGCAACGGTCCTAAGTGTGAAAAAAAGCCACGACTCCCTTTTTCAGTGCCATTGTAACTTTGAACGCTAAATCCCAATAGCCCTTATCCTTATATGCCGCTTTACAGTGCTTCTACAGCCCTCTCTAAGCGGTTTATGGAGTCAGCATAATGTCCCCAACAATCTGGGTCCTCATTTTACCGACCTCAGAAGGAAGGAAGGCTGAGTTGACCTTGAAACGGTCAGGACTGCGGGCAGAATTAGCCTGCAATACCGCATTCTAACCACTGCGCCAGCAGGGCTCTAAATGAACTGTTGTAAACTGAGGACTGGCTTTATTCCAAAAATCTTCAATTACTGGTCTAGTTTTGAGTCTAGAATAGACCTAAACTGCCAAATGTCTCAACTTCATTTGGCTCCTTCAATTTTCTCCCCAGTGCTGGCAAATTCTGTGGATCTTCAAACTGTTAATCACAAATTCTTTCTTTCTTTCTTTCTTTCTTTCTTTCTTCCTTCCTTCCTTCCTTCCTTCCTTATCTCTTTTTTTTTCCTGGCAGCACACAAATATCTGGATTGAATCTCCCAAGATTCATGAGAGAGAGAGGGCCATTAAAAGCACCCGGTACCTCCTGAAGTTTGTTTCTGAACAGACAGATTTCGACGTAAGTCACAGTTCTGGATGAGAAGTGAAACTTTTTCAGAGGAAAAATAAGTAAGAAAGTCCAGTTGTCTTCTGGAAAAAGTGCCTTTGGGATGTGACCAGGATGTTGTCAAGAGTCCTGCTCGAGCAGCAAATTGGAGGGGAATTAATCCACAGTCCCTTCCAGCTCTGTATTTCTCTGATTTTAACCTTTCCTTATTCTAAGGGCCTGGGGGTCTCCAGCGTGGCTCGCTTGGCAGATGGAGGGGGGGAACGTAGTTCCTGCCAGGCTCTGGGCTGGCCTCACCCCCTAGTGACTTCAGACTCTCATGATGAAGCAGCACATCCCACCTTCGTCGCCACTGTTAAGATTCGGATCTTGAAAGCATTAAGCGAGAGGAGTGTTGAAACAGCAACAAGTTTATTTAACTCTGAACAGAAGCAACTCAAATAGCTGCTGCGCAACTATTTATATGGTCAGCCTCCAGGCAGCAGCCAATAGGCTTAAAGTAACAGTTTTCCGCCCAAAACCTAATTACCAGCCTGGAGACAGCCAGTCTGGCTTAAGTAACAGCAGCCGTTACATTAGACATTAAGCAAGTTATTCAAAGCAGTTGTGACCAATACATTACACTAATCTTCTATGATTCTATGAGTCTAAGGTTCTATGATTATAAGGTTCCATGATTATAAGATTGTATAATTATATAATTCTATGATCCTGAGATTCTAAGATTCTGATTCTATGATTCTAAGATTCTATGATTATAAGTTTCTATCATTCTATGATTCTGTGATACTATGATTCGAAGATTCTATAATTCTAAGATTCTGTGATTCTAAGATTCAATGATTATAAGTGTCAGAATCCAATTATATTTCATCTTTAAGCATCAAATATAGAAAACCCCAATTCTGCCTTCTCTGGATTCTGCCAGAAGAGGGAGAGAAGGGGGAGAACAAAGGGGCTTTATGCAACCACTTCTTCTTAATAAAGGATTCCTGTTGGAAGAATTATTCCAAGAGTTCTGTCTTCTTAAGATGCAAAGTGGGGTGGGTCCTTACAATAAGGTTCCATGATTCTAAGATTGTATAATTCTATGATTCTGTGATTCTAACATGGTACGATTCTATGATTCTATGATTCTAAATTTCTATCATTCTATGATTCTGTGATACTATGATTGTAAGATTCTATAATTCTAAGAATCTGTGATTCTAAGATTCTATAATTCTAAGATTCTGTGATTCGAAGATCCTGTGATTTGAAGATTCTATGATTATAAGGTTCCATGGTTCTAAGATTGTATACTTCTATGATTCTAAGATTCTGTGATTCGAAGATTCTGATTCTATATTAGGCTGAAAGCTTCATGAGCCCCCTTCTCTTCTTTCTCCTCCTTTCTCCTTCCTTTCATTAGACCACAGCTGACTTTTATCTGCTGGGGCAGCTGGTGGCGTTGCTGGGCCTGCACATTGGCGACAGTGTCAAAGAAATTGGCCAGACCTCTGCGGAGGCCGCCTACCACCTCCACTGCATCATCCTGAACAAAATGGGTGAGAAATTTTGACTCCCTCGCCAAGGGACTGCCGTGCTCTAAGGAGACCGCAGATGCACGCTGCCCAGGAGAGCAGTGGGTGGCACAGCCTCTGGCTTGACCAAGACCCTGGGCACTGGGCTTGGCAGAGTTGCCTTGAATGTGCAATTGATATTGGCTTCTCTCGGGGCCAGGGGTCCTTTTAAGGCTGAGTTCTCACGTTACGTGGGACAGTTAGGCTAAGCACCTCCGGTCACCCAGCGCGGGATTGTCAGTCTTGGCCCACTGTTTGTGTCTTAGCGTGTTTTGCAAAGCCACATTTTAGTAATTGGATGGCTGGATGTATTGTGGGAAGGGAGAAAATGGGTTAACAAAGTTACTGATTGGGTGGACAGTGTTAAGGGAAAAGCTAAAGGACGAGTGCTTAGCCTTAGAATAAATTCTACGTTAGTTTTATAGTTTCAAGACCATTTCATATGTCTTCTCATGTTTTAATTGGGAGCCCTCCACAATCAGTTGAAAGGCAGGCAGTTGTACAAATGCTTTAAAGAAAGTAAAGGCTCTGTTAAATTTGGTGAGTTAAAAGCTTAACCCAGTGATTGTGAACCTTGGCAACGATAAGATGTGTGGATTTCAGTTCCCAGAATGAAAACAATTCAAAGCCTAATGCTAAATTTGCACAACAGGCAAAATGTAGTCAGAGTTAAATCCAGTTAGATTCATTCGTTCGTTCATTCATTCATTCATTCATTCATTCATTCATTCATTCATGTAATTTGTTTCTTATGTAACCCTGTTTATTTTCTCTTTAAGGTCCAGCCTATTGTGTTAATCTAAAAAAGGGAGGGAGGGGAGGGAGGGAGGGAGGGGACAGAGGGAGGGAAGGGAGACAGAGCAGGAAGGGGGAGGGAGGGAAGGGAGAGAGAGGGGGAGGGAGGGAGGGAGGGAGGGAGAGGAAGAGAGAGGGGGAGAGAGAGGGGGGAGAGAGAGGAAGGGGAGGGAGAGAGGGGGGAGGGAGGGAAGGGAGAGAGGGGGAGGGAGGGAGGGAGAGAGGGAGAGGGGGAGAGAGGGAGGGAGAGAGAGGAAGGGGAGGGAGGGGTGGGAGAGAGAGGGAGGGAGGGAGGGGAGAGAGAGGGAGAGAGGAGGGAGGGGAGAGGGAGAGGAGAGAGAGGGGAGAGAGGGAGGGAGGGAGAGAGAGGGGAGAGGGAGGGAGGGAGAGAGGGAGAGAGGGAGAGAGAGAGAGAGGAAGGGAGAGGGAGGGGAGGGAGAGAGAGGGGGAGGGAGGGAGGGAGAGAGAGGGAGAGAGGGGGGAGAGAGAGGGAGGGATAGAGAGAGAGGAAGGGGAGGGAGGGGAGAGAGGGGGAGGGAGAGAGAGGGAGGGAGAGGGGGAGAGAGAGAGGGAGGGGAGGGAGAGAAAGAAAGAGGGAGGGAGGACAGAGAGAGGGAGGGGAGGGAGGGAGAGAGAGGGAGAGGGGGGGAGAGAGAGAGGGAGGGAGAGAGAGGAAGGGGAGGGAGGGAAGGGAGAGGGGAGAGAGAGGGAGGGGAGGGAGAGAAAGAAAGAGGGAGGGAGGACAGAGAGAGGGAGGGGAGGGAGCGGGGAGAGAGAGAGAGAGAGAGAGCATGCCTGCTTTAGCATCACCAACCCTAATGCAAAGATGCACCAGACTGGGGTTCGAGAGTTCCCCTGCCCAGGTTCCTTTTCCTTTTAGCAAGAATTTTTGTCACCCTACACAGCAAGGCTGAGCTCGGACAGCCATTTTTTTCTTTGCAAATGTTTGTTTGGCAAGGTCCTCAGAACAGCAATATGTAACACACACACACACACACACACACACACACACACACACACACAGGGCCTGAGGATGGTGCCAGGAAATGACAGTTGGGTGGGGTTCTTAGTGCTCTCTGAGCCTGGCGGTTTTCTTGCAGACCTTTCAAGACCCAACTAGGTAACATCTTCAGTACTTTTCTCTGTGTTTTGCCCTCTCAGCACTGATGGCCATCATCACTTGCTGTGCAGGTTCTGAGGGGTTGCTTGATAAAAAAATACAGGAAACCAGAAGTTCCCTTTAAGCTTTACATTTTTATTCAGCTGAACAAAGCCCCGAATGAGAAGAAATCCGGTATTTATTCCTTCTGATTACATAAGCAATCCACCCGGCAGAGCTGACACACACATAAGATCAAGATTTCGCCCCGTAAGTCTGGCACACTGTAGCTAAGAAGGGAGAAAGCAGAAGTAGCTAAAAATGTTCCCTTTGGGGGGTTTCCCTAAAGACCTCGGACGTTCCCGGGTGGGTTAGGACGTGGGCTGTTTTCCTTGCTGCCCTTTCACGACCTGCCTCCATGACTCTGCAAGGGCCCAAAGTCAGCGGGGCTCTCGGCACATATTCACAATTGATACTTCCTATGCTGTCTCCTGATTTGGATCAACACACTGATGATGTTACCTAGTAGGGTCATGAAACGTGTGCAAGAAAACCACCAAGCTCAGAGAGCAGCAGGAACCCCCCAGTTCAGCCCTGAGCTACACATTTTCTCTTCGGTTGGAACGACTAAACCAGCAGTTGGGAAAAGGATGTTCAGAGGTTCTGAAAGCCAAAATCTGACCTTGTGTTTTTTTCCCTCCTTACAAAGCTCAAGAGATGGCGATGAAGCCCAAGAATAAAAAGGGGCATAATGTGACATGGGCAAAGGAAGATCTCCAAAGTTCAAGCCCAGGGATCTTCTATAATGATATCTCCATAATGGCTAAGGTAGGTTTTAGTCCAGCCTTTTGCTTTCTTCTTCTTGACCTTCCTTTCTGTCCTCCTCCTTAGGACTTGGAGATGCTCCAAAAAGCCAGTGTAACAGTGGGGAGGGCATGATCCAAAGGCTGGAGTTTGGCTGTCCATCCCATACAATCCATGGGATGAATGTATAAGAATGGATTAGAATCAAGATCATGTGAAGAGTTAATACCACTTTGTAGTGCCTCAATAAGGCCACACTTGGAATACTGCATCCAGTTTTGGTCACCACGATGTAAAAAAGTTGTTGAGACCCTAGAAAGAGTGCAGAGAAGAGCAACAAAGATGATTAGAGGGCTGGAGGCTAAAACATAGGAAGAACGATTGCAGAAATTGGGTATGTCTAGTTTAATGAAGAGAAAGACGAGGGGTGACAGGATAGCAGTGTTCCAGTATCTCAGGGGCTGCCACAAAGTAGAGGGAGTCAAGCTATTCTCCAAAGCACCTGCAGGCAGGACAAGAAGCAATGGATGGAAACTAATCCAGGAGAGAAGCAACCTAGAAATAAGGAGAAATTTCCTGACAGTTAGAACAATTAATCAGTGGAACAACCTGCCTCCAGAAGTTGTGAATGCTGTAGCACTGGAAGTTTTCAAGAAGAGATTGGACAAGCATTTGTCTGAAATCATGTAGGGTTTCCTGCCTGAGCAAAGGGTTGAACTAGAAGACCTCTTAGGTCCCTTCCAACTCTGTTATTCTATTCTAATGACCGGAAGACGCAATTGCAGCTGCCATGTTGGCTTCTTTTTACCCACACCCTAATATCAGTGAACGTGATTGACAACATGGAATAAGCCCTGCCTCTCTGTACAATGTCCTTTCCCCAAATCTTGGTCAAAGTATCTGAAACCCACCCACCTCTTGTAGAGAAAATGGAGTCAAAAAACCTGATTCATCTCTGTGTGGTCTCCTTTTCTTCTCTCCAATAGGCCTTTGGTGAGCATCTCTCCCCCATAAACATCACAGACCTGATGCTGAAAATAATTGAGGCTCTCACACATGAGGAGAAGACCATTTGCCAGGCTGCGGGAGTACTACTCCTCTCCTTCCTGGAGGAATGTTGTATGGACATGGAGGAAGTAAGAAATGGAGGGTTTGGAGCAAAAGGGATATAGGAGATTTTGTAGAAAAGAAGGATGAGAATGGATGAGACCTTGTGCTCTGAGGCCCTCTTGGTGATGACAACACTTTGGCTGGTTTTAAGAAAGTTAGGGCTGGATGGGAGACCACCAGGTGATCTTAAGGCTATAAAGTTGGGTAAACCTTCCAGAAGAAGGTAAGGGCAAAACAAAATAGCCATATTGTTTTCATGAAAACTTTATTTAGAGAGCCAGTTGGATAGAGGGGTTTTTTTGGGCCCACAGTCACAATTCTGTGATGATATTTTGTCCCATTTATAGAGGGCCTCCGCGCATCTATTGTGGCCAGTGCAAATTCGGTTCAGTGTTGTCCATATCACACGGGGCTTGATAAACCAGATGTTTTTTTCCAAAATGTAAGGCAAACTTTGACACTGTGTGGGCCAATTTTTTTCCCCAATGGGTGGGAGTGATCAACTCCACTGCATCTCCAGTGGAGACCGACACCGGAGCTCATCCCTCTGATCTCTGTTTTGCCGTAGGTACCCAAGATCCTCAGGGAAATTTACCATCGTCTCCCCAACATCAGTGAACCGGCCACAAAACAAAACACCCTGAAGTCCGTGTGTCACCTGGCATCTAAATGGGTGAAAGAAGTGGTGGACTTTCTCCTGGAACGCTCCCCGGATTGCGATCAGTAAGAACCTTAAGGAGATGAGGACTCCTGTTTTCTTACGGTCTACGGAGATTGTCAATCATTCATGATAGTGGAGAATATCTGTAGCTGGGGTGGAGGACGATGGTGGAGGTTCGTCCTCCGAGCTTCTGCTTCGTTTCTGAATGTTTCATTACCAGGCTGGGTAACATCTTCAGCAGAGTTTGTGGGATGTTGGTTGTTGCTTGTAAGGGCTTCAGGTGTGGGTGTGTCGAGTGAGGGTTTGTGAGTCATCCGTGATGGGGAGGTGACCTCTTTGGCTTTGGGCAGGGGGTTGGACTAGAAGCCCTCCAAGGTGCCTTCCAGGCCTATGAGCCTAGGAATGAGAAAATAACAGAGTTGTTAGGGATCTTGGAGGTCTTCTAGCCCAACCCCCTGCTCAGACAGGAAACCTTACACCATTTCAGACAGGTGGTTGTCCAATCTCTTCTGAAAAACCTCCAGTGTTGGAGCATTCAGAACTTCTAGAGGCAGGTCGTTCCCCTGGTAAAATTGTTCTCAGTGTTAGGAAATTCCTCCTTAGTTCTGGGTTGCTTCTCTCCTTGATTAGTTTCCATCCATTTGTGCAAATGATTTGTGTTGGTGAACAAGCCCTCTTGATGTGGACCCCCCGTGGGACCGCTGCCCCATATGCTGTGGCTTTGGGGGGGAGGCATGTAGGAATGAAAGAGGGGGAAGCTGAGCTGGTTTTCACCTTCATTGTGGTTTGCAGTGGTGGTGACTATCTTTAGCTCAGGTGAAGGAAGCGGGTAAAGATTCGTTCTCCGATCTTGTGGGTTGGTTTCCAAATGTTTTGTTACCAGGCTACGTAACAACTTCAGCAGAGTTTAGGGGATGTTAGTGTTCCTCTGTTTATAAGGGCTTTGTGTTGTGATGGGGAGGGTCTTGTGATGGGTCTAGTGATGGATCTTGTGATGAGTCAGTTGTGGGTCACGGGTGAAGATCTTGTGAGGAGTCCTGTGATGGTCACGTGCTGGTTGGGGGGAGTTGTGGTGGGTTGGTTGAGGGTCGGTGTCATCGCCGATTGGCTGCGCAGTCGATTTGAATGCTGCAAAGGTTGTAAGGATGAAAACTGGTCATACGTCCCTTTTTTCAATGCCGTTGTAACTTCAAACGGCCACTAAATGAACTGTTGTAAGTCCAGAACTACCTGCATAACTGTCCACAGAGATTCCCACTCATCCAGGTCCTCCTTATCCCAAAGGTGCTTTTTCACCAGGGAACTGGACTTTCTTCTTTTTCTGTTTTCTTTGAAGACGTTTCGCTTCTCATCCCAGAAGCTTCTTCGGCTCTGACTGAAGGGGAACGGAAGGGTTTCATTGATTCTTGACGTCCAGGAGAGATTTTTGTCTCGTTGTGTAAGACTGAAGATGGTGACCCTGAAGACACAGATAAGCTTCCAGGTAGCTTGAACGACTCGCAGAAAGAATGCAAACGACCAGCTGCCTGCAAGAAAGAGAAGTCCTTTCATTGCCCACCATCCAGTCAGAGCTGAAGAAGCTTCTTGGGTGAGAAGCGAAACGTCTTCAAAGGAAAAAACAAAGAAGCAAAAAAGTCTCGTTGCCTCGTGAAAAAGCATCTTTGGGATAACGACCTGTATATTTCTTTTCTTGGATGAAAGCCGTTAGTTTGGCCATCACTGCAAGCTCCATCAGTTCTCTAATCCTTTCTTTCATTGGAGCTTTTTCACCTCTGGACTGACAGTCTCTTCTGAAAGGGGGAAAGAATCCAATTGATCTAAACCTATTTTTTTTCCACCTCTGCAGAAGTGCAGGAGAGATATGGAGGGCGCTGACAGAAGACCCATTTTTAAAGGGAAAATTACTAAGAGCCCTGCAGAAGAGGCTCCGGGGAAAGCGCTGTCGATGGCTGTAGACCCTGGGATACAAACACTCCGTTCCCAGGGTCCAATTATGTCGCTGGCGGGCCCATCAGGGCTGAATGCCACCCTGGAGGTGAATTCTTTGAAGAAACCAAAATAGCCTCCGGAACCGGCAAGAGAAAGGCGGAGAGCTTCGCGTTTGCCACCATTTCCAGCAGATCATCGGAGACAGGAGTCAGCAGTTTCAGGAAGCAAGCAACCTTTCCAGGTGAGACGATATTAGTTTTTGTTGCAAAGTGGACCATTGAGAAAATTGCCTGCCTTTAAAGCAAAGCTGGAAGCCTAAAGGGGGGAGGAGGGGGGGAGTTTTGCTTCTTCCTCACCCCCTGAAAAGCGGCGGTTTCAGCGTTTTAAGACTTTTGAAAACTTTTTGAACTCAAGCTGAATTGAAGGAATCCGCCTGTTTTATTATAGAGGGAAAGAAGACCTACTATTATTATAATTGGGAAAAGCCACCTTAACTGCTTTTTTTTAGTATTTTTTAGAACGTTCGTTTTGTATATTTACTGTTGAAACTTTCTCCTTTTTTTACTTTCTCCCTATGTAGGTGAGGAAAGAAACAGCGTCTTTCCTGTGGTTATGGGGTGGTTATTTTGTAATTTTTTCCTTTGTTCCTTTTTCTACACTAACTTTGTTGATTCAGCTGTGGAGTTTGGCTCAATGCCCAGACATTTTTCTCTCTCTGGGAGATTACTAAGAGAGACTGCTTTTCTTTTTTGCTGTGTCTGGTTCCCTTTTGGATTTGCTTTATTCTTTTCAAAATAAGGGAAACTGCAGAACAAGATTTGTAAGCTTTTTAACTGGACTATACATTGGATACTGTTTTTTTTACCCTGCTCCTTTTTTTATTCTTTCTTTTTTGTCAACCTTGCTGTATGGATATAAACATACCTTTTATGTCCTTTTTATTATTATTTCGTTTAGAGACCTTGTATTCCTTTTTATATTTTTTTCCAGCATTTCCGACATCCCTCAAACTCTGCTGAAGATGTTTCCCAGTCTGCTAACGAAACATTTGGAAACCAACTCAAAAGCTCGGAGGACGAACCTCCACCCTCAGCCTCCACCTGAGCTACAGATATTCTCTACTATTACGAATGATTGAGACTCTCCATAGATTTTAAGAAAACAGGAATCGTCATCTCCTTGAGGTTCTTACTGATCGCAATCCGGGGATACTCCAGCAGGTGGTCCACCACCTGGTTTACCCGTTTTGAGGCCAGGTGACACACGGACTTCTTTAGTGGCCGGTTCACTGATGTTGGGCAGTCGCTGACAAATTTCCGTGAGGATCGTGGGTAGCTACGGCAAAACAGAGATCAGAGGGATGAGATCCAGCGTCGGTCTCCAAACCCTGCATTTCTTACTTCCTCCATGTCCATCACACATTCCTCCAGGAAGGAGATGAGTAGTACTCCCGCAGCCTGTGAAATGGTCTTCTCCTCATGTGTGAGAGCCTCGATGTTGTCATCAGGTCTATGATATGCGTGGGGGAGAGATGCTCACCAAAGGCCTATCAGAGAGAAGAAAAGGAGACCACACAGAGATGAATCAGGGTTTTTGACTCCCTTCTCTCTACAAGGGGGGGGGGGTTCAGATACTTTGTCCCAGAGGCAGGGCTTATTCCATGTTGTCAATCACGTCCACTGATATTAGGGTGTGGTTAAAAAGAAGCCAACTTGGCAGCTGCAATTGCCTATTCCTAGCCATTAGAATAGAATAACTGAGTTGGAAGGGGCCTTGGAGGTCTTCTAGTCCAACCCTCTGACATGGCTTCCCCATCACAAGACCCATCAGAAGATCTACACCTGTGACCCACACCTGACCCCTCAGAAGACCCACTCGACACATCCACACCTGGAGCCCTTACAAGAAGAATACCAACATCCACTATTTGCAAATAGTGGAGAGGTGGACCTTAGATAAGAAAGTGGGAATCACCTGAGCAGATGAAAATTTGGTAATTCAGATTAAAGATCAGAAATATGCTCATATTAAAAGAATTTATAATGAGTTAATAAAATTGGATTCGGAAACAGAGCTAGTAAAAGATTGTATGATTAAATATGCTCAGAATATTCAGGAACCGATTTTATTGGATTTATGGGAGTTAATTTGGATTAGAAATGTTAAATTAACGCAGGCTCAAAATTTGAGGGAAAATTTTTATAAAATGTTTTATAGATGGCATCTGGATCCTAAAAAGTTGTCTTGTATGTACCCGAACCTGCATCCTAAATGTTGGAGATGTGGTAGCTTGGATGCAACTTATTTTCATGTTTGGTGGACTTGTAAAAATATTAAAGCCTTTTGGATTATGATTTGGTGGAACATTCAAAAGGTTTTTAAGAGGAAGATTAAGTTTACTCCCCAATAATTTCTTTTGGGTATTTTTGTGGATTTTGATGCTAAAGAAACTATTTTAATGTTGAATTTCATAACAGCAGCAAGATTATTGGTGGGTCAATATTGGAAGAAAGACTCTCTGCCTTCTTTAGAAGAATGGGTATTTAAGGTTTCTAATTTAGCAGAAATGGCTAAAATTTCTCTTATTTAAAGGATCATTCACAAGAGAGATATGTTATTGTATGGAGAAGATGGATAGAATATGTTCAGAAGAAATATGGAACTACAAAATTTCATTTATTTGATGAGTAATGGATTTGTTTATAAAATTATGATGTTAAAGTTTGAAGAGAGTTAAGGGTTAGTATGATTTTGGTTATTGTATAATTAGTAAACTTAAGCAGATTATGTTTAATATGTTTGTATAACCCTGTACTTGGCTCTGGGAAGCTGGGGGGGAGGGGGAAGGGGGAGGGGTGGGGGGAGGATGGGTTGGAGGTTAAATAGGTCAGATAAGTAGAAATAGTTGTTTTCTTTTGTATATAATATTGATGTTTTAACTTGGAGAGAGGAATTGCTCGGGCATTTCCCCTGGACCGCATCCGGAGTGAGAAGATGGGAGGAAGGGGCGAAGTAAGTAGGAAGGTTGAGGAGAAGGAGGAGAGGGGGAGAGTGAGGAAGAAGAGGGAAAGAGGTAAGTGAGAGAAGAGGTTAGAGGGTGGATGCGGTTTGAGTGGAAATGGGTGAGCAATAC